CTTCCTGGAGTAGGCAACCTCTTCGCCTCTCGGGATACCTTAAAGATGTGGCCGATGTCTTGAGATACTATGGGAAAAGCTGCCTGTCTACGTGGTTATCTACTCTCTGTTTTTTTAGGAATCTGTTGCAATCCTTGTCGTTGTGGTCTTGGCCACTACGCTTATCCGAGGGACGATCTTTTCTCTTGTCCGAGGCCATCTGTGTCGAGCTTCTGGCCAATGCAGCTAACGAGCTTTCTACTCGTTGGTATTTTTCGGCCATCTAGCATAATTTGGCCAGGCTCACATGGTCTTCGCTCTGGAGCTCTTTCCATAGCTCCATGTTAGGCCTGATCCCTACAATCAGGAGAGTTCGAATGGATTCTTTAGGGGCATTACCGACTTTTGCCTGCTCATTCTAGAATCTTGTCAAATACAAGGTTAGTGATTCGTCTCGCTCTTGGCGAATGTTGCTCAAGTAGCTGAGCGACATTGCGAACTGTCTCCACGCTCGAAACTATTGCAGATAAAAGGCGGAGAATTCTTGCCAAGAGTTGATGGAGTTCGCCTTTAGCCGTTTGTACCACCTCTTGGCATTTTCGACTAATGTGACTATGAAGCACAGACATTTTGCTAAGTCACTGACCTGATGCAGCTCCATCAGGTCATTAAAGTTGTCGAGGTGATCTTTGGGGTCCCTTCTCTCGTCGAACTTGCTTTCTGGTGCCCTGAATCCTTATGGGAGTGGGGCCTGTCAAACTTCCTCCATAAAGGGGGAATTTACTATTTCTTCCGCCAGGTTATTCTAGCGAGCTTTTAGATCATCGAGCATCTTTTGCATGTGATCCAAGTCTTCATTTTAGTTTCCCTAGTTGGCTCTGTTAAGCTGTACCTCGAGCAAATAGGTTCGTAAGTCTGTTGCTTGTGAAACTCCTCTGATGTGCATGTTGATACGTGAGGTCGATTCATGATGGCTGGGTTGGTAGGTGCTATCATGCTCGTCAGTACGTTGCTTGTGATGTCTATCATAACCAGAATGTCGATCATTAGCAGATTGACGCACATGGCTCGCTTCGCGAGCCTGCAAAGATCGATCTTGCCTTGGGCGTGGGTTAAAATTGGCACGTTGACGCTGGGGATACCACTGAGCTTCTCGGTGGTGTCCGTCGCCTTCACTTTCCCTCAACGGCTATTTCCCCGATCGCCTCCAAGGGTTTGTTTGCTTGCAAGACTCTTGTTCGTGCATAAGGAGTTGCCTGCGAGGTTGGCGATGTTGATCGCCCCCTGGTGGTGACGAAACAGATTATCGACCTATAGAATTCATACCTGTTGGGGTAACGTTTGTGAAGCACAGCTAGTCGGGGTTCTAGGCGACTGGTTGTTGGTTCTTCAGCTCAGCCACGTTCTGTTTTGATCATCTCCATCAGCTGGCCATTCTCAGGATTTGATCTCCTTACCCCTTGATTGTTTTCGGCGTGCTGAGTCGACAGCACTGGTGGTCAGCGTCCAGTGTTCTCCTGTTGCACCTCTTGGTGGGCGGCTTCCATGTTCTCGTGATTTCCGGTGGTAGTTCTTGATATGGTGAACACCATTTTGGTCTTGGGGTAGGTACATCGCGGTGAACGTTTGCTGGGATCTTTGAAATAGTGGTGGAGGCCCTCATTCTAGCACCAAAATGTTGATACAGAAATTTACACCAACCAGTAAGATCCAATCGACCTTGTCGGGATCGAAACTGATGTGTGCGTGATTACAGGTAATCAACAATGAGTGAATGGTAATGCTAGACAATAAGTGACAAAGAGAACTTTCAAAGTGGTTCGGCAAAGTTAACTGCCTACGTCCACTGTGTTTTAATTATATACTGTGAGAGCTTACAATGTAGTTTTAATCTAGAATTCGAATCCCCCTCCTTATCATTTTAGAGGGTATATATACAAGATTTACATAAAGGAAAGAACAAAATTAAGGGGATGACAAATGATTTGAATCGCAATTCCGATATCCTTGCGATTGAGTGCTATGATCGTGCAACGATAACTGTTGATCCAATCATTCTTGCGATATCTGAGATTTGAAGTAATCTGGGGATTGATTGTTTAATTCCTGAGATTGTCCGCGACTAGCTTGTGCGTAGCTCGACAAGCTTATGCTAGGTCGATCAATCATAGTCGCCGAGGTCATTCTAGGCTGAACTATATCCTCGTGTCAGCCCGAGCTTGGCGAAAAAACCACACACAACAATTAGCATTTCATCTTTACAGTGTTATAAATATGTCCATGCTTTAATTAATTTAATTTTTTACTTTTAATGGTTCCATGTAAATATAACTAGAAAATTTAATTGAAGAAAGCTTAAATACTTTATATTAATAAAAAAAAAGGTTGGATAATAAGTAAATTATTTATAGTAAATATAACCTTACGATGAATATAAAAGATTTGAGAGTTTAGTTTACGAGTAATGCTATACACATGACTTTCTTTATAACTTCGACGTGATAACTCATAATTTATCAAGTGAGATCTATTGCGAGTTGTCACGTTGAGATTGTGAAAGAAAATTTATGAAAAAAGAGTGTAAATATAGCATTTTTCTTAGTTTACTTTGAAATGACTCAAAGAGGTAAGTCAAAGGTTCTAAAGTCAATTAATTGGTTCCAGGGGTGTCTTGAATTTAAGAAAAAGAATCAAAATATTAAATAATAAATATATAATTAAAGTAAATGGATCCCACTTCTCCAAATATACTTCAACATTAGGATAAGCCCTTTTATAAATATCAATGGAAACTTATTTATTTATTTTTTATTTTTTGGGATAAAAAATATCAATGGAATTTTACAAAAATTCTATTGGACAACTCGTATTATAATATTTATTTATAATTTTCATGATTAAATGACTGTACATTTGTCTAGAGATGGCAATGGACCTAGTATTTTTGGGCACCCGAATCGGCCAGTCCCGAAAAGGTCAGGCTTTACCTGATGTTAGCGGGCTTGGGCTTAAACCTGGGACTGATTTTAAGGCTTGCCCTCTGGTACGGGCCGCGCGCGTGTATGTCTTCAGGTTTAGCCTGACATTTTATTATTAATTTTACTAAATTACCCTTATACTATATATCTAATTATAGAATTATCCTACATATAAGTAAGTATTCAAAAATAAATTAATATTTAAAAATTATTTTTATAATTAAAAATGTAAAAAAAATTAAAATTTATTAATATTTAAAAATTCACATTATAAAAATAGACAAGCTTGGATCGGGACTGAGATTACAGGAAGCCCGTTGGGCTGAGCTTTACCCATCATCCCCGTGACAGGGCCTTTGTCATGGGGTCGGGCTTGGGCCCAGGCTAAGGGATACCTGACCCCGACCCAGCCCATTGCCATCTCTACATTTGTCTTATATTATTATAATTTTAATTATAATATTGTGATCAAATGAACGTACATTTATCTTAAATATTATCATATTTATATACAAATTATGATTAAATAAAAAAATAATTAAAATAACAACTAAAGAATATTTTATAATATAACGATGCAGTTGTAAATTTTAATGATAAACATACCCTACTAATAATAAAATTTGATTTTTAATATATAATAATAATATTAAATAAATTTATTAATTTCACATTAAGTAATTGTATGTAAATAGCCAAATCCAATATGAAAAGTGTAGTAATGTTAATTTATCAAATCAATCATTTTTTTTTAATCAAAGGTGTCTAAGATTGTGCACTTATCTCTAATTCGCCCTAGCCATTTGAACTATCCACTAATAGATTATTAAATCAATCATTAATTATAGAATTAATTTTTGATGTTGATATTTGGAATTTTAAACTTTGAACACAAACAATCTCGGACTTGCAATTTGGAATGTAAAATAGGTAGATTTTTAACTAAATTAAAAAATAAAATGATTTCAAAATTAAAATTAAATTAAGGAAAAAAAAAAAAATCTCTCTAGGAAAGCCACGTAGAGAGAACAACATCCAAATCCAAATCCAAAATGCCACTGTATTTCTCAATCAAATTTATCATAACATTCATAAATAAAGATCGACCATATAATATCCCACCTTTTGGGGTAAGGGCAAGTGATCGACTTTATGAAGATGCGACCTCCTGGGAAAAATCTACCATTCAATGAATGCATGAACATAAATCTAATGAGATCATGTTCTATTAAGCAGTATGCTCTTATTAGGTGATTGTTGCACGTAACACTCTCTCCACCTTTGCGGGTGGGGTAGGAAAATAATGATCGGAATACTGAGAAAAAAGTTGTTCCAAGTACAAACACTCACCTCTGCAATTCCCCGTGTTTACCAAAAGCATCTCCGAAAATTAGTGGATGCATGAAAGAAATGAAGAATGAAATTCATACAACGATGTATCATATATAGACTTTCATTCTTTAGCAAGAATATATTAACAAGTGTACAGGTGAATATAAGGTTTATCGACTATGACGCTCACTTTGTCAAAGACTAGTAATTACTAAAAAGAATTTGGGGCTTGAAGAGATTAAGACGGGTTTGTTTTACCGAGGGATTCGATCGCTCAAGAATCAAATCTTTGTTATGTTGCCATAGTCTTTCCTCCAAATCTATTTTTGGAAGAGTGCGGTCACAATTTCTTGACCAGAATGACTTATTGAACAATCCACAAATCTCCATAGAAAAGGTAACAAGATATATATCTCTGCCATGCTGTAATGCTTTGTGATCAAATGTTATCCCATGGAAAAAACGAGAAAAAAGTCACAGAGATATTTATGACAGTAGATGGATAAGAGCTCGGATTGTTGCCTATCAACAAGGTTGGTTTGGAATGTAGGACAGTAGTCCTTCGCAGAGCATCTTCAAAACCCAGTCAAATGTCAAAACCCGGCATTGCAAACTGTGTTGCAAAAGTTTCAACTTGTGTCCGAAGCTCTAAACTATCCTTGTTGCTCTGGAGACTCTCCAGAAGACCCTTTTGCAATTTTCCATGTTCACTACACCATTATTGCAATATGTGCAGCTCTAAGGAGAAAGTCAGCCATGGTCTCAAAATCTGACTCTAGGCAACCTCTTGATGTCATGGCAGGAGTACCTGTGGATATTGAAAGATATTATAACAGCCGAAACATCTCTCACAGAAGTACACGAGTCAAGGTTAATAGAGTTGCAACTGAATATTTAATGAAATCCACACTTACCAATCTTTACTCCCCCAGGAGTAATGGCACCATTGTCACCGAAAATAGCTACTTTGTTGACAGTAATATGACAGAGCTCACAACCTTCTCATAGTATTTACCGAAAAGACAGCAGAAGGATAATTAGATTAGGCATTCCACCTCATGAAAGCAATTTGTCTTTGATGGCTTACAGGTACATGCAACAATACAAAGAGGAGTGGACAAATTCGGCGATGAGAAAAATTGTGAATGTGAAATATACACTGATATACGACATTTTAAATATCTATCCAACAATAAAAAACTATTTATTTCCCTTATTGGATTTTTGATTTATTTTTCTAGTGATTTTCTTCCTAGTTTGAATAAGAGAGACAACCATTGATTTAAATAGTAGGCAATATGAGTTTTGATTCCTCCCTCTTATTCTCTCTCAATTTTCCTTCCATTTCTTCTCTTCTTGATCCCTATCACAATTTTCCTTCCGCGTTGTCTCTCTTTTTGATGAACAAATAGTTTCATTTCTATCACGAAAAACTTTCTAAGTCTACTATAATTTTTTACTTCAATGATACCTCTCTCCTCCGCCTTGCAAAAACTTCTATTGACACCCAAAAGCTCTCCCAAAAAGAAATCATTTATAAAAATCTTCCCATTTCTTACTTATCTTGACTCTTAAAATTCTTATTCTCTGATCAAATTTCAAAACTAACTTATCCTCTCTTTAAGAAAATACACTTTAAGAAGTAGTTATCCTATATCTTTATCTTTCTTTAAATGCTTAATCGCACCCATAACTTTCGTAGTTATCCTATATCTTTATCTTTCTTTAAATGCTTAATCGCACCCATAACTTTCCCTCCCTCACGATGCAGTTGTGTTAATAGGCTTTGATAACTATTCGGCTGGGTCTGTAAGTGTTAGCTTATACATATTACAAGAAACATAGGTACAAATGACGTTGAAACATAGAGAAGCAGTTTCATTCAATGGGAGTTTTGACTACGTCATAGATTTAAATCATGCATGAACTCAAATATGAACTCTGAAAAGGAGAATAAAAGGGAATTATTTTGCAGAAACAACAATATTATGAATGTAAAATATCTAGCACAGTCATCAAGCACCCATTTCCTCAGTATTGGGGTATTTCCTCATAAAGTCTTATCACAATCTCAAACTTGGAATTCCTTAAACGAGATCCACCTTAAAAATTGGCAATGACCGAACTAATAAGATAAAGAAAGAGATGAACAGAGTTGAGGTAAAGAAAAGAAAATTTGGGAAAATTTAGAATTGAATGAGAACAGGAGAACCAGACAATATATATAGATGCTACACCTTCTGGCCCAACACATATAAAACACCACTAAGAACCAAATGGAGAATTAACCACCCATACATGATTTTTGTTGATGACTCATACATATCTAGCCCAAGAAATATATTGATGAGCTACATTTTCATAGTATACTTATTTTTTTATTTTTTATTTTTTTATGGATAAGAAACATATGCTTTATATTATAGAAGGATCTACAACTTCATAGTATTACTAAAATAAAAAGCTTATGCTTATGCACAGATCGGTTGGTGAACACCCACATAATTGTTAAGTAACCACATGCCCTAATCTAATACAATGAATCGTAAACTAGTGTACTGAGTCTTCAAACAAAATATTATCTCCAAAGTCTATGGCTTTCAACTTCAGTCTTGGTTAGAGATCCTACTGTTCTCAGCATAAAGTAGCCAAACACTAATGTATACCCTCCAAATGGAATGGGGACAGAAAGACAGGCTTGATTATTATTAAAGTTTTTGATTTTATCCTGGAATCCAGCTCATGTGCATTTTCCTAACCAAAATAATCCATGAAGTCCTCTCATGAAAAGTAAAACTCCTAAGAAATATGGAAGTTAACAAATAACTCAGCTCAACTAAGAAAAACTCCTAAGAAATATGGAAGTTAACAAATAACTCAGCTCAACTAAGAAAAACACGGCTCATAAACAAAGCAATAAAAAAGAAAAGCAAATTGCAGTACAAGACAAATCAACATTGCATATTCATATTTATACCTGTTAATCCAAGAGGCCTTAGATCCCAAAGTAACAAATGGTTGTCTGTGCATCCAGTTACAAGCCTACATTTTTTTCTCAGCAATGCGAATGCTAATGCTTGTGCATTCTTCTTCACTTGCTGCATATATGCCTTATATTCAGGGGAAGCCACCTGCTTTAAGGCTATCGCAAGAGCAGCAATGTGGTTATTATGCGGTCCACCTTGTAATGATGGAAAGACAGCGGAGTTTATCTTATCCTCCAAGTCATATCGATCACTTTCAACTCCTTGATTTAAAAGGATCCCTCTCTTCCTCGGCTCTGTACCCTTTCTATAAAAAATTATACCACCCTAGGACCTCGAAGGCTTTTATGAGTAGTTGAAGTAATAATGTCACAGCAGTTGAAGGGACTAACACATTCCTGTGTAAACAACATATGTTATTTGATAAATTTTTCAGTAAAATCAAATAAAATAGTTTAATATGCTTTTCTCAAAAAAAGACAGAATTCCCAAATCATCACCTAAACAAGCTAATGTAGGCCATTGTAAAACAAAATTCCATGTCCACATAAATATGATAGATTTCAGCATTATTTGATTATCGTCAAAGGCCAGACTTCATTACCATCAGTAAATCTGACACTAGAAATATAATGCTTTCATATTTGCAGATAAACTCATCCGGGCGTAAGAAAACATTTCCTTGCGCGAGCACCCCAGAGGCCAGTGCAGAGACTGCAAAAAATATTAAATAATTCAGTTCTTTACTTTTACTGTAGTTATACTAAGGTGACGGTCCACATAATACTTAGGGAGGCTTATGCTAGAATTCATACTAAAGAATTCATTATAAATCATAACACATGATATTTTTTTTGATAACAACACATGATTTTTTTTTTATAACCGGGGTGTCCGGGCCAGCGTACGCGCACTTCAACTAATCACCGAGGTCCATTGAACACCCTATAAACCCAAAGGACCAAGTAAACTACAATATATAACAATATGGACCTCACTCAATTCGCCATAAACCCTAAAAAGATAGCAATATGTACAAGCCTTGTTAACAAAATTCAACACGGAGTGGGCAGAACTCCACCCAACATCAATCAACAGCAATACCTGATACGACCCATCTCGACCCTCCCTATCCTATAGGCTTCAGGCACACTCCCGAGACTCAGGTGACCGAGACGTGTCACGTGAGAAAACTATGAAACATGTTTATGAATTAAAACATCATAAAACTCTTATAGCTAAAAAAATTATAGGCACTCCTTTTTGTTTCTCACAAATAATTGTAACATCATTCGTAAATAAACAAATGCAATTGAATTTTTACAAAATGAAACATATAGTATAAGGTTTTTTTTATTTTTTTTATCTTTTACCATCTAAAACATGAAATAAGTACATGATGAAGAAATATAAACTTTACAGCGGAAAATAAAACAAAACTATTACACATATAATGAAATGAAGTCCTGTGGCTTAACCTTGAGTGAGATTCCCTCCTCTACATGATCTCCTTCTTGACATGGTGGAGGTGGAAAAGAAAAACATTTAAAAACAAGAGGTAAGCTATAATGCTCAGTGAGTGGAGAATAGGTTAGTATGCAATAAAATATTTCAATATACAATAACAAAAATTCATGCTCATAAAATCTCATTTTCATAAACATATCTTATAATATAAACCATCTTTCATAACCAATGCTGAAATCTCTCAATGCAAAAACTTATTTCTGAAAACTTTCATGGTAATGAATCAATACTTGTTTTCTCTAAAAAATCTCATTTCTAAAAACATTTCATGTACAAATAGCACTTGCATTTATAAATTTCCATTTTAATTTCATGATATACATATATATATCCAAACCATCTCTCAATCACATGTGAAAACTCTCATCCAACTAGTACCCAGGGGTAAACCCGTCCAACCCTGCAAGATCTAACATCGCGCGGGTTGAATCACTATATCCATCCTGCTAGGCAGAATTGGTCACCGCTCAAGCCTTCGACCCAACGAGACCATGGATTGCTCGGGTTGGCACAATCATATCCTGTCTAGTGATATTTGCCTCGCTTGGGCCTTCGACCCACTTGGACCTATAAAATCATGTCTAGCGATATCTGTCTCGCTCGGGCCTTCGCCCACTTGGGCCGGCAAAATCATGTGTAGTGATATCTGCCTCGCTCGGGCCTTCGACCTACTTGGGCGGGCAAAATCTTATCATACGCATGCGTAGAATCAAATCAATATCATGAGAGGGATGAGTACTATATATGGTGGTTTGAAAACTACTATCATCAATATACATACTTTTATTTTTCATTTTACATAAATCTCATGCTTTCATTCATCAAGAAAACATATAACATAACATTAAATTCTCATGTGCAGTATAAGGCTAAAATGCAAGTTTTCAACATGATTTCATAATAACACCTTAGCCCAATTTTTATATTATCAACAACAATTTTCCAAAAAAAAACGATCGTTGTAAATTTTAATGATAACATACCTACTAATAATAAATTTGATTTTAATATATAATAATATATAAATAAATTTATTAATTTCAAATTAGTATTGTATAAATAGCCAAATCCAATATGAAAAGTGTAGTAATGTTAATTATCAAATCAATCATTTTTTTTTAATCAAGTGTCTAAGATTGTGCACTTATCTCTAATTCGCCTAAGCCTTTGAACTATACTCCACAATAGGTTATTAAATCAACATAATTATAGAATTAATTTTTGATGTTGATATTTAAATTTTAAACTTTGAACACAAACAATCTCGGACTTGCAATTTGGAATGTAAAATAGGTAGATTTTTAACTAAATTAATAAAATTAAAAATTAAGGAAAAAAAAAAAATCTCTCAAGGAAAGCCACGTAGAGAGAACAACATCCAAATCCAAATCCAAAATGCCTGTATTTCTCAATCAAATTTATCATAACATCATAAATAAAGATCGACCATATAATATCCCACCTTTTGTAAGTGATAACAATCGACTTTATGAAGATGCGACCTCCTGGGAAAAATCTACCATTCAATGAATGCATGAACATAAATCTAATGAGATCTGTTCTATTAAGCAGTATGCTCTTATAGGTGATTGTTGCACTAACACTCTCTCCACCTTTGCGGGTGGGGTAGGAAAATAATGATCGGAATAGAGAAAAAGTTGTTCAAGTACAACACTCACCTCTGCAATTCCCCGTGTTTACCAAAAGCATCTCCGAAAATTATGGATGCATGAAGAAATGAAGAATGAAATTCATACAACGATGTATCATATAAGACTTTCATTCTTTAGCAAGAATTATTAACAGTGTACAGGTGAATATAAGGTTAATCGACTATGACGCTCACTTTCAAAGACTAGTAATACAAAAGAATTTGGGGCTTAAGAGATTAAGACGGGTTTGTTTTACCGAGGGATTCGATCGCCAAGAATCAAATCTTTGTTATGTTGCCATAGTCTTTCCTCCAAATCTATTTTTGGAAGAGTGCGGTCACAATTTCTTACCAGAATACTTATTGAACAATCCACAAATCTCCATAGAAAAGGTAACAAGATATATATCTCTGCCATGCTGTAATGCTTTGTGTCAAATGTTATCCCATGGAAAAAACAGAAAAGTCACAGAGATATTATGACAGTAATGATAAGCTCGGATTGTTCCTATCAACAAGGTTGGTTTGGAATGTAGGCAGTAGTCCTTCGCAGAGCATCTTCAAAACCCAGTCAAATGTCAAAACCCGGCATTGCAAACTGTGTTGCAAAGTTTCAACTTGTGTCCGAACTCTAAATATCCTTGTTTGCTCTGGAGACTCTCCAGAAGACCCTTTTGCAATTTTCCAGTTCACTACACCATTTTGCAATATGTCAGCTCTAAGGAGAAAGTCAGCCATGGTCTCAAAATCTGACTCTAGGCAACCTCTTGATGTCATGGCAGAGTACTGTGGATATTGAAAGATATTATACAGCCGAAACATCTCTCACAGAAGTACACGAGTCAAGGTTATAGAGTGCAACTGAATATTAATGAATCCACTTACCAATCTTTACTCCCCCAGGAGTATGCACCATTGTCACCGAAAATAGCTACTTGTTGACAGTAATATGACAGAGCTCACAACCTTCTATAGTATTTACCGAAAAGACAGCAGAAGGATAATTAGATTAGCATTCCACCTCAGAAAGCAATTGTCTTTGATGGCTTACAGGTACATGCAACAATACAAAGAGGAGTGGACAAATTCGGCGTGAGAAAAATTGTGAATGAATATACACTGATATACGACATTTTAATATCTATCCAACAATAAAAACTATTTATTTCCCTTATTGGATTTTTGATTTATTTTCTAGTGTTTTCTTCCTAGTTTGAATAAGAGAGACAACCATTGATTTAAATGGTAGGCAATATGAGTTTTGACTCCTCCCTCTATTCTCTCTCAATTTTCCTCCATTTCTTCTCTCTTGATCCCTATCACAATTTTCCTTCCGCGTTGTCTCCTTTTGATGAACAAATAGTTTCATTTCTATCACGAAAAACTTTCTAAGTTCTACTATAATTTTTACTTCAATGATACCTCTCTCCTCCGCCTTGCAAAAACTTCTATTGACACCCAAAAGCTCTCCCAAAAGAAATCATTTATAAATCTTCCCATTTCTACTTATCTTGACTCTTAAATTCTTATTCTCTGATCAAATTTCAAAACTAACTTATCCTCTCTTTAAGGAAATACACTTTAAGAAGTAGTTATCCTATATCTTTATCTTTTCTTAATACTTAATCGCACCAAACTTCCCTCCCTCACGATGCAGTTGTGTTAAAGACTTTGATAACTATTCGGCTGGGTCTGTAAGTGTTAGCTATACATTACAAGAAACATAGGTACAAATACGTTGAAACATAGAGAAGCAGTTTCATTCAATGGGAGTTTTGACTACGTCATAGATTTAAATCATGCATACTCAATATGAACTCTGAAAAGGAGAATAAAAGGGAATTATTTGCAGAAACAACAATATTAATGTAAAATCTACACAGTCATCAAGCACCCATTTCCTCATATTGGGGTATTTCCTCATAAGTCTTATCACAATCTCAAACTTGGAATTCCTTAAACGAGATCCACCTTAAAAATTGGCAATGACCGAACTAATAGATAGAAAGAGTGAACAGAGTTGAGGTAAAGAAAAGAAAATTTGGAAAATTTAGAATTGAATGAAACAGGAGAACCAGACAATATATAATGCTACACCTTCTGGCCCAACACATATAAAACACCACAAGAACCGAATGGAGAATTAACCACCCTACATGATTGTTGTTGATGACTCATACATATCTAGCCCAAGAAATATATTGATGAGCTACATTTTCATGTATACTTTTTTTTTATTTTTTATTTTTTTATGGATAAGAAACATATGCTTTATATTATAGAAGGATCTACAACTTCATATATTACTAAAATAAAGCTTATGCTTATGCACAGATCGGTTGGTGAACACCCACATAATTGTTAAGTAACCACATGCCCTAACTATACAATGAACGTGAACTAGTGTACTGAGTCTTCAAACAAAATATTATCTCCAAAGTCTATGGCTTTCAACTTCAGTCTTGGTTAGAGATCCTACGGTCTCAGCATAAAGTAGCAACACACTAATATACCCTCCATGGAATGGACAGAAAGACAGGCTTGATTATTATTAAAGTTTTTGATTTTATCCTGGAATCCAGCTCATGTGCATTTTCCTAACCAAAGTAATCCATGAAGTCCTCTCATGAAAGTAAAACTCCTAAGAAATATGAAGTTACAAATAACTCAGCTCAACTAAGAAAAACACGGCTCATAAACAAAGCAATAAAAAAGAAAAGCAAATTGCAGTACAAACAAATCAACATTGCATAGAACGTACATTTATCTTATATATTATCATATTTATCTACAAATTGTTATTAAATAAAAAAATAATTAAAATAACAACTAAAGAATATTTTATAATATAAACCATCTTTCATAACCAATGCTGAAATCTCTCACTGCAAAAACTTCTTTCTGAAAACTTTCATGGTAACGAATCAATACTTATTTTCTCTAAAAAATCTCATTTCTAAAAACATTTCTTGTACAAATAGCACTTGCATTTATAAATTTCCATTTTAATTTCATGATATACATATATATATCCAAACCATCTCTCAATTACATGTGAAAACTCTCATCCAACTAGTACCAAGGGGTGAACTCGTCCAACCCGGCAAGATCTAACATCACGCAGGTTGAATCACTATATCCATCGTGCTAGGCAGAATTGGTCACCGCTCAAGCCCAACGAGACCATGCATTGCTCGGGTTGGCAAATCATATCCTGTCTAGTGATATCTGCCTCGCTTGGGCCTTCGACCCACTTGGACCGACAAAATCATGTCTAGCGATATCTGCCTCGCTCGGGCCTTGGTCCACTTAGGCCAGCAAAATCATGTGTAGCGATATCTGCCTCGCTTGGGCCTTCGACCCACTTGGGCAGGCAAAATCTTATCATACGCATGCGTAGAATCAAATCAATATCATGAGAGGGATGAGTACTATATATGGTGGTTTGAAAACTACTATCATCAATATACATACTTTTATTTTTCATTTTACATAAATCTCATGCTTTCATTCATCAAGAAAACATATAACATAACATTAAATTCTCATGTGCAGTATAAGGCTAAAATGCAAGTTTTCAACATGATTTCATAATAACACCTTAGCCCAATTTTTATATTATCAACAACAATTTTCCAAAAAAAAACTCAATTTCTCATGTAAATCAATAACATTAGCAATGAATCATATTTATCTAAAGTAAATCACTAAATTATGACAAATAGTAAACCAAAACAACTCATTTGAAGTTTATAACAAACAATTAATTCAAAATGAAAGTGAGGGTTTGGATTTTCCACTCACCATTTTGGAGCTTGACCCTTAAGCCAAAAAAGATTGAAATCCTCTAACAATTCCCCTGCTTGCCTCCTTATATACAAAATCCAATAAATCCTCCAAACGTAAGTCCCCCTAAGGTAACACCTCATTATTAAATCATTGGGCACTTCACACACCAAAAGATTAACCTAGCTTCTTCTTTAACAAAACTGTCTCATAACCGAATATTTGTCACTCTCGGATTTTTCATAAAAATTCTATCCATCATGTTAAGCCATAATTTTGATGGGGCCTTCTAGAGACACATAAGTTGTTCCCATAATTTTCTCAAGTCATTCTAGAATCAATAACTATTTAAAACACAATTTTCTTTCAACTCATTCAAATCTACCAACTGTTTCCAGAATTGAGGTTACTAACTTGTAAAATTCATAACAATTCAACCCTTAATCTAAACCTCACGAAAATCTCTAGAATTAAACTAGACACATATAGGATTTACCAGAATTTAAAATCACTCAATTTGGATAAGAGTAGATGCATCAAATCATTTTCCAAAAATACACGCTCTGCAGAAAACGAAAATTCCAGAATTGACAATGCAACTTCAAAAATCCATATAAAATTCAATCCTTCGAGTTTTTGAGTGAAATAAATTTCTCAACACTCCTCAAGAAGCCTATAACAAGATATCCAAAATTCAGCTTCAATCAAAAACCCAAAACATGTAAACAATTTTTGGAAAACCAGATGGACAGATTTTTGCACAATAATAAACCCATATATCAAAAATCATATCTTTAACTTGGTTTTTGTTTAGGAACAACATGTATGTTCTATCCATATAACATTATTGAAATCAATCTCCCTATTTTAATTCAATCTCATGCCATTGTACTCAGTTATGAACAACACAAATCAATTGAACTAAAACTCGTCAAAGAGGGAAAATTTAAGCTTTACTCGCCTCCCATACGCTTGATCTTTCTCCACTCTTTCTGATCATCAGAGTTTTGCTTACTGTCGGGCACTTTTCCAGCCACCTTCATCGTTCTCTACTCCTCTGTCTCTACGTTCTCTCCCTTCTTCCTTCCTTTCTTCTTTCTCTCTTCCCTCTCTTTTCTTTCTTCTCTTCTTTTTCTCCACTCTTTCCTCTTCTCGCCGTCGTTCCCTGCTTCCCCTTTTTCGGTTCTTTGATTGGCCACTGTTCATCAAAATATCTAGAAACTTTTTCCTTAATCCTCATTGTTTTGGCTATTACACTTGCTTCTTAAAACTTTCAAAATCTAACATTTCCCCAAAATCACCAATAAAATTAATAAAATTCTATACAAAAAATAAGGGGTATTATGATACCAATACTAAAGACAACCACTCTCGTTCAAATGAATGCTACAACATTCCAAAATCCAAGTCCAAGCTAGCTATCAACATAAATAACAAGGGCAACAAAGCAACCAATCCCAAATGCACATACGCATCCAAAAATCAACACTCAACCACAAAAAAAAAAAAAAAAAAAAAAAAAAAAAAAAAAAAAAAAAAAAAAAAAAAAAAAAAAAACCCACAAAATTCACACCTTCGCTGCCGCAAGTCCACTAATTTGAGCCATATCACACATCAAAACTGCCCCACATTTATCTGCAGCCTGCCTAAACCTTGCATAATCCCACTCACTCGGATACGAACTCCCTCCACAAATCAAAATCTTTGGCCTATACTCCAGTGCCCTCTTCTCCAACTTATCATAATCAATATAACCCGTCTACGGATTTACCTTATACATCAAACTCTCAACGAAAATTGAAGTTGTAGACACTTTCCTCCCATTCTGCATATAACACCCATGGCTCGTGTTCTCTCCCGACGGCGTATCGAGTCCCATAATTCTATCACCGGGTAACAAAAGCCCAGTATAAACAACTAAATTTGCTAAAGTACACGAATAAGGCTGCACATTCACACCCTAATTTTCATCACCTAAATCAAAAGCACACAACGCCCTTTTGCAACAAAGCTTTTCAATTTCATCAATAAACTCATTACCGCCATAATATCGAGCTCCAGCCATACCTTCAGAGTACTTATTGGTTAAATGACTCCCCAGAGCCTCCATAACTGCTCTGCACACAAAATTTTCGACGCTATAAGCTCAATTCCGTTCCATTGACGAATCTTTTCCTCTTCCATGAGGGTAAAAATTTATGGGTCCACCGTTCAGCGGCTGGTTGCCCTAAATTGGCTTCGTTTTATGGCGTCTGACGCACATGGACTGACCTAGAATCCGAAATTCTTGGAGGGTCGCATCAAGTTCGGCATCAGAGGGAGAGGAAGAAGGGCAGGCGAGGGCTATAGAGAGAGTGCTTGAATGGTAGCGATGGTGGGACGATGAGGATAACGATGGTGATGATAAGTCCATCGGAAAATTTAAGGATGAGAGCAACAATAACAGCAGCAAGAGGGGTAGAAGAAGGAGAAGGAACAACGTTTTTTTATGAGGAATTTCATGGGGTTTTGGGTGAATTTTGATTGTTTGGAGAAATCGAAAATGAGGAAATTGCCTTGTGCCTTTTCAAGTTTGCATAAATGTTTTTTTTTTCTTCTTCAAAGTGAGGTGTCCAAGGATTTACAAGTTTATGGGTAAAAGTATAATAAAGAGAAGATGAATTTGAATATTGAGAAGGCAAAAAGCAATTCCCGGTGAGAAAGAGCCAAAAACCTGATTGAAGCCGACATTCTCTGTGATTTTTCTTCCCGTTTTCTGGCATTATTGAAATCTTTTGCTCTTTGCATTGAAGACATTTCCTTGTTAGTTACAAACAAACAATGGCTGAGATTAACAAAGAATTCGAGAAAAACCCAACCCCCTTCCGCCGGTGGTTGTTTGAAAAATGGAGAAGAAGAGGTTGCGGTGGAGCAACTTCCGACAACTGAAGATGATGACGCCGACTCAAATTCTGGCCTGGAGGTGGAAGAAGAGGAAGAAAATATAATATTTCTTTATATTTTATAAAGATATTAGTTGTTGTGCCAATTTGGGGATATTTGGTTGTTGTTGGTTGTTAAGATGATTGGTACATTTTGTCGAGCAATTCAAGAAGGCATTGGGGGAGTGGGTGTTTTTGGCTTCCAAAGGACCAGGGAAGCCAATGGAGGCCCTAGGGAGATTGTTTATGGTAGGTTGGATGGTTGGAGTTGGCTAAAGATAGCGGAAGAAAGGGTGGGGGGTTTTAGGGGCTTGCCTACATATTGTAGGGTTGGTTATGCGCAACTGTGCTGCAAGCCCCTAGCCCCCTATTATGCACTCTTCTGCCAACTCTAACGCCATCCAACCTGCCACAACAGCCTTCGTAGGGCCTGCCTTGGCTTCCCCAGTCCTCTCGAAGACAAAAACACCCACTCTCTTGATGCCCTTAAAGCCCATATTCCCTACATTGGCAGCCTATTGCTTGTTTTGGTTTCTTTTTGTATTGATATTTAGTTTATATCGATTCTGCAGTAGGAGCATAAATTTTAATATGGGCTTGAGGTTGTTATGGATGCTATACCATACTTCCCTGGAAGGGTTACCATAAGGTCAAGTTAGCAAGTGTTTATCAGAATTAAGGAGATTCTAGGTGGGCAAAGGAGAGGTATGACCAATTCAAAAGTAGCTGTTTTGATCATTTTGTGGAGTTAGGCGAAAATTGGAATAGGGGCTTTTGGGGCAAGCTGCACATTATCTTTCGATGTACTTTGTTAGATGCAAAAAGAGAAATGAAATGTGGTTTGTGGTGGATGGGAAGCTGGTGCATTTTGGGATGATGGATTTTACTTGATGATAGGCCTATATTATGGGCCATTTCCAAAAGCAAAAGTGGAAGAGAGGGTAAAGAAGAGCAAGGCAGCCGAAACTTTTGTTAGAAAGGTTTTTTTTTTTTTGGGGGGGGGGGGGGGGGGGGGGGGGGGGGGGGGGGGGGCAGCAGTCTACTTCGACGCTTGATTTAGAGGAGAGGTTAGATGCGGAAGGCAATAATTATACCTCTTCAGAGAAGTTCAGAATTTGCTTGATATGGTTTGTGCATTCCATCCTTATGGCTTGTGACTCAACAAAAGTCTTTAATCTTAACTAGGTGTGCTTTGCAAGTAACGAGGAGTTCTTTAATTCTTATATGTGGGGAAGGTTATCATTCCAGTTAACCATTGATTCCATGTGAGGAAAAGATATGACGATAAAACACCCCAATATGTCAAGAAGAGTGTCCATTGGGACTACTGATAATCCGAGAATTATACTATTTTTATTAGGCTTTTTTGGCCAGATTTTAGATACTTCTTAGTTCATTTTTGCCTGAAATGCTACTTAATTCTTTACATTTTGTGTTTCAGGCCACCAAAATGGAAATTTTGAGCAAGTAATGAGCGAATTGGAGTTTCTAGACCTAGAAGTGAGCAGATTTCAGAATTTGGAGGAGTTCTGAAGCAGATTGAAGCACTATGAAGCTTGTTCCAATGAGAGAGCATCGGAGATCAAAGATTCAAGCAAAGAAGCACGCGGAGGGCAATTTTGTAATTTTAGAATTCTTCATGAAGGTTCGTTGCAACAAAGTTCTGTTCTTCACCGCGGCGAAGGAAGTGAAACACGAGATTCTAACTTACCTCGTCGCTGTGGCGAAAGTCTTTCTTCGCCGCAGCGAAGTCTGCGGATTTTTGTTTTCTTCAAAACGCACAATTTTATTTTAGGAAAGTTGTAGGTTTTTGGACGAACTATAAAAGGAAAACTTTACCATTTTGAGAAGGGTGTCGGAGTTCGCCTGGTTTTCATTTTTCCTTAGAATAGATTTGACATTTTTGGTAAGCAAGTGAGAAGATTGGAGATTAAACCTCATGGATTCTTCAACTAGGGGAGATATCTTTTCTTTTCTCTTTAATTCAATGTGTTGAATGCTACGTTTACTATTTTTCTTGCTGTGTATTTTGATTTAGTTATGAACTAACCCATTTTGGGTTAGGGTTTTGATTAAGTTTGGATTTCTATGGGTTAATGAATTGATTATTGCTATTTCCATATTCTATTGCATAGATTGTGTGGTTATTCTATTTTTGATGGAATTTATTTGATGCATATGATGAGATTGAGAAATGAATCATGTTGAGCTTCTTGGGTAATCACCATTGTAGTATTGAATGCTAGAGATAGATTTGAGAATCAATGAAATCAATCTAGGATTCCATTAGCTTAATGAACTTGGATATATTATTCTTCAATTTGTTGGGTTTGGAAGTTTAATAAGGAAAAGTAGGAATTCATAGCCTGAGAAGGCATGTTTGATAACTTAGCGAATTCGATTTATAATCTGTGCATGTGAGTGTGGAATTAACATAGTCTGTAGAATTCATCCATAGAGTCTGAATGAAGTTAAAACCCTAACCGTTTGTTAAATTGATATTATTCTTGCGTTTAAATTCTTGCTTTCATTAATTAGTCTTTAATACTTAGTAAGTTTTGTTTTAGTTTTAGATTTAATCTCTCCCATTAATCCAAACACATTTGGTTCTTCCAACTTGAAAACAGTTGGGAAATTTAGTGCTTAACAACCAATCCTCGTGGGAACGATACTCACTCATCACTTTATTACTTTGTGTGACTAGTGCACTTGCTATTTATGCATGTTGTAGTTACAACACATCAAGTTTTTGGGGCCTTTGCCGGGGATTGAGTTTTGTGTTAACATTGAGTTTTCTTGTGTTGGCTAGATTGAAGTTTATTTTTGCTTTAATTGTTGTTTGTTTAATTTTTTGTTGTTCTTTTCGGTTGGTTTGTGATCTCACTTTTACTCTGTTTTTGTGTAGTTTATGCGAAGAGCAAGACGTCAGCCAGTGGTTCTTGTTGATCCTGAGATTGGAAGAACCACTAGAAGACTTAACAGAGAAAGAAGAGAAAGAGAGGCAATAATGGAACCAGAAGTTATAGTTGTTGAGATGGCAGAAAATAGAATACTAAGGGAGTTTTCAGTTCCCACAGTTGAAGGTAGTGGGTCGATCATTACTAGACTAGCGGTACAAGCCAACAACTTTGAGATAAAGCCGGCAATCATCCAGATGATCCAGTAGTTGGTACATTTCAGGGGAGATTTGAAGAAAGATCCAAATCTACACATTGCTAATTTTTTGGAGATTTGTGATACTTTCAAGTCAAACGGAGTGTCAAATGACGCCATCATATTGAGACTATTCCCGTTTTCATTGAAGGATAAGGCATAGGGATGGTTAATGGCATTACCATCAGGAACGATTACAACATGGAATGATTTAGCACAGAAGTTCCTGACCAAATTCTTTCCTCCAGCAAAGTCGGCAAAGCTAAGAAATGATATCACATCGTTTCTACAAGAAGAGTTGGAATCATTATATGAGGCTTGGGAGAGATATAAAAAATTACTGAGGAGGTGTCCACATCATGGGTTGCCAGTTTGGATGCAAGTCCAAATATTTTATAACAGATTGATGGTGAATGTGCAAATTATGGTGGATGCAGCATCGGGAAGAGCACTGCAAAATAAGACTCCGGAAGAAGCTTGAAGTTTTGGCAAGCAACAATTATCAAAGGCCTAATGAAAGGGTGCAACCAAAGAAATCTATGGGTCTTCATGAAGTTGATGCATATACATCCATTTCAGCCCAACTAACAGCACTTCAGAAACAGTTGGGAAGTATGCAGGTAAATTCCATTCAAGCACCTCAACTAACTTGTGAATTTTGTGCAGGTAATCACGTGAGCAACGAATGTCAAGTGGGGAACACGTTTGCTTCAGCATCATCATTATCAGAGTAGGTTAACTACTTGGCTGGAAATCAAAGGCAACCGAACAATCTGTACTCTAACACATATAATCCTGGTTGGAGGAATCATTCGAACCTATCTTAGGGCAATCAAAATCAACATAATCAGCAGAACAGTCAATGGAACCAAAGAGCATTGCCAAACAACCAAACATGGGTGAACAATCAATCAGGAGAGCAAAGAGTGACAAAATTAGAGAACATGTTTGGATAGTTTATGCAAGAGACCATAAGTTTTATGAATGAGACGAGAACGAATTTTAGAAATCAAGGGGCGTCCATTCGGAAATTGGAGGTACAAGTGGGTCAATTGGCTGATAATTTAAATGAGAGACCATAGGGATCACTACCAAGCAACACATTGACTAACCCACGTGAGCAAGCAAATGCGATAACTTTAAGAAGTGGGACAGTGTTGGATGAGGTGGATAAATCAAGGGAAGAAGAAAGTCCACCAAAGGGAAAGGAAAAGGAAGGCTCTGATGAGGAAGTTGATGAAGAGATAGTTGCTGAAGAGAAACCATCTAGTTCAAGGGAAGAAGAACAAAAACGGGAAGTGAGACAAAGACAAAGGAAAGAGAAATTGTGATTTCCCGAGATACCACCAGAATTGGCACATCACACTCCTCCTATGCCATTTCCTCAGAGACTAGAGAAAAAGAATTAGATAAGCAGTTTTCCAAATTCATGGAAATATTTAGAAAATTGCATATTAACATTCCTTTTGCAGATGCATTGCAACAGATGACGAGTTACGTGAAATTTCTCAAGGAGATTTTATCAAACAAAAGGAAGTTAGAGGATGAGGAAACAGTGATGCTCATGAAGCAGTGCAGCGCCATTCTCCAGAAGAAGCTACTGTAACAACTGCTGTAAACTAGTACAATGCATGCATAATAACAATAGAAAATGGGCCCAAAACTTTTCTTTTTATTATAAGTAATAAGTCTTTTTTACACATAGTTCATCATTTATAAAAAGCCATTTTTAAAGACAAAAACAGGGGAAACAGTGTAGCTATTGCTCCTCTCTTGCTGATGCCCCTCCGACTGCATCATCACCTAGATCTTGCATCCACAAAGGAAAATAACGGGGTGAGCACAAAATAATGCTCAGTA